TTAATTTTATTTCAATAATTCGCTTGCATAGGGGTCTTTAGCAGTGGGGGGAAACCGGAGGACCCGGAGAAAACCCACGAGGTTGGACAGGCGATCCTACTCCTTGTCACGTACAACCGGGGATTCGAAACCACGCCAGTCGACTCAATGACAGACTTTATGATACAGCGCGCGCACGCTAACCATTCAGCCATCCAACCCCCCCACTTAATTAGAACTAAAGTTATCATGTCCCAAAGCATCAACCAATCAAATTGCTTATCTCTGCTTACCCTAAGCAGAAAATGCTCATCTTCGAACTCCATCAAGACATTGGCCTAATAAACACCTACATCAAGTTTGAACATTCTAGCTCAATTAGAAGGAGAGTTATTGTGTCCCAAAAAGTGTGACGGACAGACAGACGGTCGGACGGACGGACGAACCCGTTTTTAAAGTCCCCTGCAGTCGAATGTAGTGCCGCTGTCCGGGCAAAATTTCCCTATATATGGCGTATGGCAGTCTTCCTTGGCCCAGTAGGACGGTAATTAAACTGTCAAATGTATGCAAATTTGTACACGGGACCTCAGTTTTTCGTGCAACCCGAACGACTATACGACTATCTCGGTTAGGGTCAGCCGCATCCAGGTTTTGTCATGGATTATAACTCCCATACTAAAGTAGTGTTAATTGAAATACAATGATGGAAATGTCAATTAAATCAAGGTCAGCATGTATGTCAAGGGTATTAACTTCACAAACCTGTGAAAACCTTACGCGATCAGTACATTATTTTTTAGAGTCTGTTCTGTAGATAACTGCCGTTGTCATTTCTCGGGATCACGTCATTTGCTTTCTTACCTGAAAACTTTTGAGTCGACGTCATTTTGAATGGGACAGTCGGGTTACTGGAAACACAACATATGCATTATTGCGTGCTACTACTATACGCAACGTTCGTAACCGTCTCTAGAGATGGGATACCCCACACCACTATTCATTTATATGAAGAGATCTCGATTATCGTTTTAGCCTGCTGTAACATATTAGAATGGCGGCATCACATGGTGCCTAATGACCACCAATAACTCATTTGCTAATGAGAATATTTAGCATATACATCAGCAACATTTAGACCTGCTGAAATTATGCCTTTCAACATGTCTAAATAAACTGTAATTAACTGAAGAACTGTAAATACTGTATTCATAGTTTTGACGCCAAATCAGTCTATTCCTAATAGAAATGATAATGGGGGTTCCAGGTCTATCTCATTTTTATACAAATTTTTAAAAGCTCCTAGCAAAATATGACGTCAACATGGTGCAATTGTCGAATTGTTTTAATGTATCGTCTTCCTTTCACTATTTCACAGTTGTTGGCAGATGTGACAGTCGTCTTATGATCGATGCCATCTTGATGACAATATGGATAAAAATAGTAACTAATAAGAGATAAATCACAGACCGTTGGAGTCCTACAAGTAACACCATTTACAGCAATCAGGCATATGTTACTCAAAATGTCACGAATACTTTAAAACTAAACGGAATTTGGAACAATTTTGTGTATGATGATGTAAATGAAAACCCTATAGTGATCATGTTTACTGCAAGTAATCATAGATCAAGACCTGTTAAAATCAACCACCCATGTCTTCCAAAACTGACTCGGGTACTTATGGGCCATCATTCAGTAGTGTTTGCTTTGCAACGTTCTTTTTCGCAAGCCCAGATTGAGAATGCTGTGGCTGGTATGGTAAATTTGATTGCCGATGATAAACGACAGCTTCTACTGAACTGAGGTTAATTTTATCTGACTATCGCAATTGCGTAGACACCCGCCCTATAGGACTCTAACTGTATTATTTTGGGATCGGAAGCATTCTATCAAAAATATCCCTTTCTTGTGCAATCCTACTGTTAAAAGGTAATATTGACAATGTGAAAAAGCTGTCAGGTATTCTGATTTATACAAGTTATCGTCACTCGATTGTGTAAACATTTAGTTTGGCATTAAGCCAGAGTAGATGACGTAATTGTCCCTTTATATAAACTGCGTGTGTAAAAAAATATCAGCAATTCGTGTAAAGTTAGGAAAACTGGAAACCCGTCTACATTACATGGAGGGCCCTCACATATGGGGCGGGGGACTGAGGGGGGCATATGTCCGGGGTGACACTTCTTGGTGGAGGGGGGGGGGGCAAATTATCTAAGTGCATAACTGGACCCTTTGAAATTTATGGACTAGCCTCCTTGGAGGATGAAATAGCAAATCATCGGCCTTCGGTTCCCCCAATCCTGTGAAAACCAGTTCATATTTCAGCCAATAGAGAGGGTAGAATTGTGATTTTTTCCAAGATTATTACAGGTTTGTCGATCAAATGGAGAGTTGGAGGGGAAATAAACATAAAAATTCTACATATAAGTTGATTCAATAACTAGTAGTTATTTAGATAAAGTTTTAAAAGTATAAAAATTTCTTTAATCATAAAAATCAACTGAGCGCAGACTCTGAACAAAGCAGTTACAGTATGCAAGGGGGTGGGGGCGTCACTAAAACCTTTTCTCTGGGGCGCCACAAAGGCTTGTGAGGACCCTGACTATGGCCTGTCTATGAACAGAGCACATTTTTTCCTAGATAATATTCATATCCATGTTTATTAGTTAAAACCCTTTTCTAGAAGTATATTATGTTGTTTCGTTTAATTGACCACTGCATAACTCCAGGGCAGATCAGTCTGTTAAAACTTCCTTTGATAATTTGATATTTTTGGATCGATCGAAAGCACCCAGGGTCAGAGTATTAAAACTTTGTGTAAATGTTTGGAAACATGAAACTCTAAATTAAGTTAATATTTTCTTATTTTATAGCCATAGTAAAATTTGCATTAAAATGATTTGATTTCAAGTCTGCAAGAATAAATGATAACTCTTTTTCTCTCTTTTTATCAACATAATAGAAGTTTATAAAACACATTCTGGTATTTCGAAAAACAATATATGTAATGCTCTTTAATCATGCACTGGAAGTTTTACTTAGAACACACAAGGTGATCATTAAAAATACAAATAGCATGAAACTTCTATTTTACTATATATAATCGCTATGGATTATAGCTTCGAGGAATATTAGCTGTCTCTTTTTTTTACCCTGACAGCTTCTTGTCTTATCGAAATACATTTTAATAAAAACACTTAAAATAAGCCATTTCTGCGCACATTAAACTAAATTCAACAGAAACAAGTGGTTGCCATGCAAGATACGACTACATTTTGCAAGAGATGGACATAGAACAAGCCAAAAATGCGAGCAATAATGCAGGAAGTTACGGTCCGATATGTGCAAGTATCAAAAGGAACCCAGGTCTTTAGGATATAAACATACATTTTAAGTATTCTGGAAATCGGACAAAAGTGACCTCTAGAGCGTCCACAACCTTGATATTACATACTTTTACATTATTTGCGTACAGAGAGCGGCAGTTTCACGAATTTTGACTTGTAAAATCGGATAAAAATTGCGACCTCTATGGGCCCACAAGCTAAAATCGCGATATTTTAGAACAATATGGGGCCATAATCCAAGAAGTTAAGGTCCGTTAAGCTCGAGTGGCATTTCAATGTCAAACACAAAATCACGGTGATCTTTTTGTAAGAAAATCTTTGTGCAAGTTTGAAGACAGAGAAAGTTCTAAGTAAGTAAAATGGTTGTGAATTTTTTTCATGACACTTTATCCAAATCAAAACCCTTTCATAAAGTTTATATAAAAAAATGGGCAATATTTGCAATTACTGTCATATATTTTTTCAGTGGGACGTATCAGTCCCGCCAGGCAGATTGTATACCCATATGGGTCCTGGGACTCTGAAGTACAAATACGGTTTTTTTTTTCAAATTTATCGGAATTTTCCATTGCGAATGATTAATATGTCTGAATTTATCCTTTTACAACATGACAAAGAGATTTTAAATTACAATTGGTCTGTGAAATGATATATGTTTTCTAAGAAAACATCAAATCTCGCAAACAGAGTAAATGCTGTAATAAATCAAGAAATTGTTTTCTAGATTTTCATGGTGCGGTTGGAAATAAACTATACATTTGAATTTCAAGTTAAAATTGTTTACGCCTTTAGTTGAATGGATTTAACTATGGATTATTGTTTCAAATTGTTGAGAAAATATAGGTTTCTTTGTTTGAATTGTCTGTTTAGTGTTGTGGATTAAAGTTATGATGAAAATACGGATTTCAAGAATAATTTAAACCTTTTTGTATTGAAAATAATTTACCCCTTTGCCGCCCGTCGGGACATTCAAGTCGCACACCCACCCGCTTCAACAAAATTTGTTAAACTTAAAAATAATTTTGTGGATACCCTAACCAAACCCAAATCATCTATAAAATATCATAAAACAAGAAATTATTTTAAAATTTAACCACTTGGGCCCCAAAGGGATATATATTCATGGCTATCTCAGTACCTAGGTAAATTTAACACCCATACGCTGAACTATGAGTTTATTTAATGGCAGAGGGAGGATGTCAATGCACAGACAACGAAAAATTCACAGGGTAAAGGGACATTGAAAGAAAAAAAAGCTGTTTTTTCTGTTTGGGCAGTAAGGGAATACGAAATGGTGCTTGTTAAGATTTTATTTTCCCACGAAAACACGGATTTTTGTTTAATAGCTTGATGGGGGGCGGGTGTGGGCAAACTAAAGGACCACCCTAGCGGTGCACTCTAACTCGGTCAACGGTCAGGCGTGTTGAATCCATCCAATCTATTCTATGATTTTCTGAACCCAGAGCCTCTAAAATTGCCATTTATTGAATTCACGCGTCAGTAAGAATGAATTCTAACAATTCAGACATTTCATAAACATGCCCACTGCCCAGACTGAACTAGGATTTTAATTACTGAGTACAATATCTTGTCTGACAATGATAAATAATATTTATAGGTTTTGTTTAAATGAATTAATACCCAAAGTCAATAATATAATAAAGCATTGTATACCTTGCATCTGAGACTGCATGACGCCATCTGCCAAACCCCAACAAGCGATAAATAGAAGAAGCCAAATAGAATCTTGCTTTGTAGGTTTCCATATATAACTTGTAATTAGTATAAAAGAAGTTAGGAAAAATCCTGAAATAGGAAAAAAAGAGGATAAATATATGCATTTATCAAATAAATTAATCAAGTTTGCTTCAGTATATGCGATTATGAGAGCCGCAAGGTATTATAAAGTCATCGGACTTTCTAAGTCATGAAAAGAAAACATTTCTGAAAATTTGTAAGTGCATCAAGCAACGCATTCTTCAAATTATATAATCATATAATTTTTTATAGTAGTCATTGGCTTCCTGTATCATTCAGAATTGATTTTAAAATATTGTTAATCACATACAAATGTCTAAAACGGCGTATGGCACTATTTTGTGTAACCTTAAAATAGACGAAAATGATTCTGAAAGTACATATTAACGTAATATGAATAAATGTAAAGTGATTTATATTCAATTTTTGAAAAAAATATTGTAATTTCTAATCAGTTATATTCGGTGAAATACGTGACTAGTTCAAACTGAAGGACAGTCGTTTATGCCTGCTTAGTCCATTCCACAAGTTTGTTTTATAATTATTTTGTTGTTTGTGAATCAGCCTTTACTTATTACTTCTACATTGTCTCGTAGGATATGTTTTTAGTTGTTCATTACGAAATGGTACCCGAAACCATAGAATACACGACTTGTGTACTGATTATAAAATGTTAAATGTGTCTTGAATATTGGAGTCCTATATTTTCATGGCACGATAGCATCATAAATTGTAATTCGAATATAATAGAAACAATTGAGTTAGAGATTTAGCTCCTTTAAAGATACATTATGGGAGATTCGGTAACGAGTTGGCAGTTCTCACTATAATAGTTAAAAACTAGATAATGTAAAGGCAATTTGCTGAAAATTTAATTCAAATTGATCCACTGAAATTCCCATAAGCCTTATCATTACTAGAGTACGATAAACAGCATAGTCTCGATTATCGATTTAATCGTTTAATCGAGAAGGAAAGTTATGCAGTAAATCTGCTTACAATCCACTAAAGATCGCAGGCTAGCGCTGTCATCTAGAGTTGATTATGGCCTGAATAGGTTAATTAATGTCTAATTAATAATTTAGATAACATTTCGGGCCTAAAGAAAGACCCGAAATAGGCAGATCTAGCTCTTGCATTATGTATGTTTAATGGTTTAGCTCCTCCATACTTGTCCGAATTAATACAAATCCGCACTACAGTGGGAAATACAAGGTCTTCCAGTGATGATTTCAGTTAGTACAACATCGAGCCAGACTAGCATTCTATGACGAGAGGGCCTTTTTATTTTATGCACCGTTACTTTGGAACAAATTACCTTATTTTATTCAGAAATCTCCTTCTATTATTACATTATCTTTATAACTTTTCTTTTTATCATAGATTTTAAATTGTATTTTTACTTTGTTATTGTTAAGCGCATCTGAAAGATGCCTAACTGTATTAAATAATAAGGCTACACAAAATAAATGTCTTGTTTCTCGGGCAACTGACAGCTGAAACTGTAGGGGGGGGGGGGCGGTTTATTTTTTTTTTTATCTCATTTATGGCTAGAGGATGGTGCAAAATAAAATTTGCCTATTGTTGAAAATTGTTTGGGCGGGAGGGCGGCCTTGTATTTTTTTTTTTTTTTTTAATGAGAAAGTCATTACTTGTCTACGGTTTTGCTTTCAATTATATATTATACATACTTAGAACATAAACTCAAAAATCAAGTCTACTCAAACACTGAACACTGACTGAAAGGAAAATAATTTTCCATATTTAATTCACGTAATGTAGCTTACTAATGGTAATGGTGACAACCATAATTGAAATTGGTTTAAAATAAAATTCCGTACGACTATTAATAGCCGTCCATAATAACGACAATATTTTAAAGAGTAAACCTCTGTCAGCATTTGTATCAAAAATAATCATCACGGTAAACGACACTGCGATCTAAATCTAGTATCGCTGGTTTATAATGATTGACCTAATTCCAACCAATGTCACGTGTCATCGGGATATGACTGTTTCTCAGGTTATTCGGTGTGTTTCTCAGGATATTCGGTGTTCTATCTGGGATTTATATCGAATGACTATTTAAATTTAACTAACAACTCGTCAGTAAAACCATCAAATGTGTAATCCAATTATTATTTTCCGGATTATCAAAACTACCGTTAAATGTGCTAATGACCCAAATTCTGACTAAGGTATGGTGACTATCATCGTATCGTATTCGTAGCCACAAGTTATAATAATTAACCTGTTCTACGATTCATTGTTTTATAAGTAGGATTTTTTCAAACATGGACCGACTGAAGCCGGCAATAATGAGCCGATTAAGATCGAATGATTGAAATCCATTGGATTGTTGTCAATGACTTTCGATGTTTAACACGAATCAAATTCTAGTTCACAAGGGGAGGTAATTAAAATCACGTGATACAAAAATGGAGGTTCTTTCGATATCAATAAAAAAAGACCCGTAAATGAGCGTTTACATCTGAATCAGTTTAATACATTTGAATGGATATTCACGTATGGGGCATGTAGATACATGCGGCATATTTTTTTTATGACTTGCTTATCGATGTTCGGGCGGGCGTTACATATTTTTTATTTTTCATCAAGACTAATAAATAGGCCGCACGCGCAACCAATTTTGCGTGCGGGCGGTGCCCGAGAAACAACTTATTTTATTTGTGTTACCTAATATTAATAATAATATTAATAATATTTAGTTGTATTTAACTTTTCAACCTCAGTGTTCAATTAAAAGTTTAGGGAATTAGTTTGAAGCATAACCAGTATGATATTTTAAATTTTTCTTTAACATACACTCAAACTATACAATGCCCGTTTTTTTTGTGACAAATGTGTCTTCATTTTTCCAATCAATACGACCGGAAGCGATTAACCGATTCGAGTTTATCTAAAGTCAGAGGGATTTGCGTCTAGCGCAATTTGAAAAGAGTTAGAACCATTGCTACTTTACATTGTCGAAAGCAAAGCAAGTGAATTCGAATACGCTTGAACAGTAATAGTTAATTATATGTGTAGTTTGGTATTTTCCCCAAACTGGTTCTGTACCAAGAAAAAAAAGGTGTTCTTTCCAGATTATATTAAAAGTGAAAATATACATTATGTCAGACGTAGTGACAACGAATTCCAATTTATCTATGTTATTTCAGTATACATGTACTTTCAATATAATACTCAGACAAAAGAAAGTCCATACGCACATTGGATCAGATACCCCTTTTAATGAACGACGATTTTTCCTGATGTCGACGATTTTGTAATCAGTATTATTGTAAGGTCTTACAGCAGATTATTGTTTGAAAGCGGGAATGAATAGTTCGCGTGCAGACATGTTATAACATCACGAATTCACCTCATTTCACATTCAATCACTGCTTCTCTTTTATACTTGTTGCTGTGAAAATATTTTCTAAACATTTCAGTTTTGAGAAAACAATTAACCGGTGAAATTGATTTTTTGTTAAAAAGAAACACCGATAGGTGGCTGTATTCAAGTTAGCTTGTCACTGTCTACGACAGAATTTCAAGATGTACTTCCTGATCTACCATCATATATCCAATATCAAAAACACACTTTTATGGATAACAATTACTATGGTTTATTTCACTGCGACGTTTCAACAAGGTTTCACTTGTGTATATGCTTGATAAAGACTTGTGAAACCTTGTTGAAACGTCGCAGTGAAATAAACCATAGTAATTGTTATCCATAAAAGTGTGTTTTGATTATGTTCCAATTACAAAATGCCATTCAAAGAATATATACTGAAGTTTACCAGATATATCCGACACTTGCCTGACAGATTAGTTCATTCGTTCGTTTAGAAGGCTAACGTCCGCTTCCACCTAGGCCAGGGTGATATCGCAGTCGGGTAAAAGACGACTGTGGGTTTTTTTTATACGCCAACGTTTAATGTGGATGTATATTGTCATCCAGTGCGTCCGTCGGTCCACCCAATTTATTTTCGTGAACGCTCTAAACACTACAATCCATGTCCGATTTTAGATTTACAGGAATTGTTCATTATTTGGTCATAAGGATTAACTCTAGTCTATCCAATTTCAAACGTATTTCTCCGAGTCACACTATCTTTCCTTTCATCGCTTGTAAAGGCGATACAGGGCAAAGTTCTCGATTGGGTTTGGACCCTATCGATATACGGATTTTTCCGATCCCAAAGCGCAGAGTTCCGCTATTAATATTCAAATTTATAAAACAGAATTAGTAAACTTTAGGAGGGATTGCTCTCGAACGCATCGTGGTTCACGGGGTTATCTATACGTTCAAACCTCTATCTTAAAATTATATGCGAAATGTGTTCAACCTTTTCTATGAGATTATTGCTACCAACGTTGTCCTTTAAAAAGAAACAGTGGTGACATTGCGTTAAATTGGCTGGCGACATCTGCAGCAACATGTACGATATTGTTCTGTGTATATAAATGGACGACGGGTAGGCCCTTGACCATACTTTCCTGTTCCAATCACAAATCAACGTAACATAAAACAAATCCACTTTTCAACAAACTTATGCAAATATGTATGCTTGAAAACTTACCAAAAATCAATGACACTATGTTGAGTCTGTAGTTCTTCAGTCGATCCAAAGACAAAATGGCGGCCAGATTACCGGTTCCAAAACACATCATCATGTAACCAACAATAAAACAACCAAAAACGTCACTTCCGTATATCTGAAAGGAGAATTATGACAGGTTAAATTTAATAGGGAGCCATTGCACATAGTGGCTCGCAACTAACATACGGTTTTTACTTTTAATAAAAACTTATAATAAAACATTTCTGAATTTTAAGTTTATAAAAAAGGTTTTGATAGCACAAACCTATTAAATATACATTTAAATTAATAATTAAGACGACAGACAACATTTTGACAAAGCGGGGTAGTGTCAACCACGGTCACTAAAAAAACTCAAAATACTTGATTGACATTTACCAAACCCATTTTTATTTCCGGTTTGGGCGAATTAATTTGAGTGGAATTGTTGTGTTAACTAGTAAAATGTCTAATGCATTGATAAATATTTTTCACAATAATTACCTTATGGAATAATTGCTATTTCCGAAAGGCAATTCCAAACTATGTCATTTGCTTATAGTTTTTTCATTATTTAATATTGAAATAAGTCTAAGAATGCACAACCTGAATTTAAATTGTTGAATTATTTAGGTTTTAATTAGCAATTCACGACACCAACTGTGTCAGTCCCTGTAAATAAGCAGCATGTACCATAATAAACACAGCCATTTGTTACATTGACAGTGATTGACAGTTGCCCTCATCTGGAGTTCTCTTTTAAATCATATCATCTCTGCAAACCCTGCTCTTCGATTAAGGCAAACTGTCATTTTCAAATGAATAAAGATAGGTTTGTAATAAAATATAGTAAAGATAATTGCCATTCAGTCTTGTTAAAATATCAAACATACTGTTATCCATTTTATATTGGAGAATAACTATATATAGGATGGTTAACTGGAAATTTTAATATACTAAGCAGCAAAAGAAACGTCAGGTTGGTATGTTACGCTGAATAGACGCATTGCATAAAACTTGCCAATATATCTGTGACCACATCCCAACTTTACCTGAGCAATAAGGCTCCTTCCCAAACACAGAATTGAACCCAGGGAATGTTCTCAAAAACGCAATCTGACTTATGAGATGGTAATGTGTTCTCGATGATTTTCATGTAACTCATACTGCACGTGTTGTTCACCGGGACCAGCCCTATAAAATTCATCCCATACCTGGATGAATCATTCACGCTACGTCACCAGCATGCCTTGTTTCACGACAGCTCAGAGGAACCAGGCGCTTGGAAGATACGACGCTGGCCACACGCCGAAGCCGTTGCCAATCACTTCCAGGTCAATGTTTGGACCATCTACAGGCTTCGGCAACGCTTTCGGGACACCCAACACCTCTGATGATTTTCCCCGAACTGGTAGACCAAGGGTTACCACAAGGCGATAAGACCGCCTTGTTGTGCGACAGTACGTGCAGAACTCGGAACGCAGAGCGGCGTCAACGTTATGCACTGGCCAGCCCTTAGTCCGGACTTAAACCCGACTGAATATCTTTGGGATGAAATTCAGAGGAGACATAACAACGTCGTACCAAGACCAGACACAGCCGATTGATTGCACCAGGCTTTTCTGAGAGTGTGGTTCCTGAAGCCAATGGCGTTCATCAATCGCCTGGTCCACTCCATGTACAGACGCTGTGCTACTGTTATTGACACTTGCGGTGGACACACCAGATACTGATGTATACTGTGTACAGACTCTAATGTCTTGGAATTGTGATTAATTAATCACTAATGTGTCAACATACTGTTCACAAAAAAATGCTTTGATCCATTTAGTAAGTCGTTTTCTAGAATGATTTGATTAAAGTGCCTCTCTGATTTTGAAATCTTACTGACGTTTTTGTTGCTGTTGAAGATGTATATATTGAAGATGGTTGACGACCCGGACGTCTTTTTCAGGGGGCGGGCATTCAATAAAAATAGAGAAATAAAAGTAAGTTTTTTGAAATTTGAAATTATTGAAATATTGCAAATATCCACTGTTCTCATTTCTCAGTACTAAGCCCCTATACCTGAGTCTTAGGGGAATACAATTAAGGAGTGGTTCCTGGGCACAACAAACCCCCTGCGCGTCACTGGATATTTAATAAAAATATTCATTAACTTCATTAGTCTTATTGACGTAATTCAATTAATGATTGCGTTGTTTTGAACAGATTAACCCGGTAATCGACCATGTATTTGCCGTAACAATAACAAAATGGAAATTTTGATTTGATGTCTACCACGATAACTTGATCTGGATATATTATTGATCAATTTTTCGATATCGACCGATATATGACGCAATATTATGTAACAGAGATGAGTGAGTTATATCAAATGATAAAGATGATAATACGTTAAATAAATATGATCAACATTTTGTGGAGAAAAATGCTGAGAATGGTTGATCTATTTATGTTAAGTTTCGTTAACCGTTATACATACAGGTGGCGTATGCTATGAGGACAAGATTCAAGGGCTGTGTGGTTTTGTCATTAAACTGTTTCGAACTAGATCTGGCACGAAATCAATTACGCAAGTATTTAAACTTATGAAGAATATTCTGGTACGTTGTCCCACCACCTCTTCAGTCCGCTACCAATATAATATGTAATATGCACAATATGTCCACATATGGGACGGATTTATACCAAGCATACTTTATTTTAAAGGGACAATAACACTCTTGCTGGCTTGACAGCTCCAGAAAATAAAAATAGCCTTATTCTAAGTACTAGATGTGTTAGTATCCTACCTGTTGTGTAAATTATCTATTAAATCCTATTTTACTTGTCCAGAGGGTTCAAAAATATTTTTAAATCCAAGTCACATTTGAAAAGCTTTACGTCAGGCTTTTCAAATCATTTAGTTGAATCTTTCCAATTTTTTAAATTAGATGTGTTAAGATGAAATTTGTATCATCAATTAAGTGGAATATTGTAAAATAGTACAATGTGTTGACCAGAATAAAGATTGCGACATATTATTCAGTTACAACAAGAGTGGTATTGAGCCTTTAATTCTTTAAAATAATATAGTCATTTTTATAATTTTGGAGTGGTAGGAATAAAATCAAATTCATGTGAGCATTTGTCATTACGAAGTATCGTAGGTGTAGATACTGTAACAATGAAAACGTTCCACAATATAACTCCTACAGTTCTATGTAAGGCGCACGATATGCCACAGTACGGCATGCAGCCATTGTGTTAAGTTGAGACGGGGGTGGGGGGCATTGGTCCAGAGCCGTCTTCCGAAGGTTTGAATGCCATCACACTACCATACTGAGACGAGACGATCTTTTTCAGTTGGCAGGATCCGCTATAGATCTGCCACGGCCTGGACTGGAAGGCGTATCGGCATCTGCATTATCGAACGATACAAGTTTCCCGTACAGCTACTACTGTGGGGGGGGGGGGTCCACATAGGTTCAACAGTGCTGACACTGGTCGTCGCAGAAAATGCTTTGCTGGAGTGCGTGCCAGACGGGCTTACGTTGGACCAAATCAGACTCGACGCCGTTACTCAAGACTTTCGATTTTTACCCAATGTGCCTACGCTTTCTTGTGTCAGTGAAGGTCAACCCAACAATCATGTCAAAAATCGCTGTTATTGATGGATTATCAACTGGTCAGCCGAACCATTTATATTTGTGATGAATGAGTTGTAGCATCAGTCTATGGAGTCAATATGTTATAAAGAAAAATACCTGTTCCAGTATTGTATAGATACATTTCATCTCAATTATCACCCATACCGTATCTTAAGACAGTCTTATAGCTAAATTTCTGATCAATACTAATTAATTTGTCTATATAGCCCAACAAACAGTAAGCAAGCAGAAGCGTGTAAAAAACGAGATTCATTTATTCTATAGTAAGTAACATAATTAGGATCTATAAAGCTTGGTGAAAGAAAACGGAATCCTGAAGCACACGGGGCGATAATAGCCTATTAAACACAGAAACATGTGTTTTATCAAGATTTGCTTATTGTCGCCATTAAGCATAAGCAGGGTTTCTTTAGCGTGGGTCTCACTCGATTTAGTTGTTAGTGAGGGTGGTCATAAACATATCTCCTCGTGGTAGGGTTTACTTCTTCATTTAGTAAATGTGGTGACCTCGTAGTTCCCTTTTAGTCAGTCAATGGGATCACAGCACCGAAAGTTTTGCTTCGACGAAAAACCGCTTCGAAATACACTCTCTTTCGTTTTTCTGGGCAGCCGAATGAAAGAGCCGCATATGAACCAAGCTTAGAACGCCATATATTTCGCATAAGATACACTTTTATTTAAAAACAAAATGCTCTATTTAGAAATAAAACCTATATCAACTAAACTACGTTTTGTCTCGCTATCAGTATTTAGTTTGCAATATTGGAACTGAAGTAAATGTATTTAGTTTGCAATACTGGACTTGAAGTAAATGTAATTTAAACGTAAAATGCGAGACTAAATGTTGCATAATTGTAAATATGAATAACATTGTGATCAAACCATATCTGGGTAAACAGAGGGACATGCACAGAGATTTAAATATACTTATTAGGAAAGTTCACAAGGACAGCTTCTTGTAATGAAATAAACCTATACTATCTCTCACATATGGTTTAGGAATTTTACATGAACGAGAATCAATAATGGAATAAAGAAATAACTATACGTTTAGTCAACATGAGCAAGAACCTTGTCCTAGAAGATGACAATATGGCAATTTTCTGGTTGCTAAATCCCATTCTCATCAAATGAACAACCAGGGTTTCCATGTTTTGAAAGCTTAATTAATATCTATATTATCTTTTGTGCCATTAAAAAGTCATAAAAAAATCGCTAACTACATACAAGCTGTGAGCAAGCACGTAATAACCATTTTCTATTACAAGAATAAAGTACATCTTTCTTTGATCCGTTTGCTTGCATGAATTATTTCTAGTCTAAGATAGTTATCGATGAATTTATTGAATAAGATCTTCAGTCGAGATAAGACAGCTCTATTTTCTTTCATATAATGTTTATTATTGTAAAATTACGCCATTCAAAATTTACAATTGACATAGATGTACATGTAGCACTTTAATCAATCTATAAAATCTTCGTT